AGTAAATATGTAGTGTTCCTAAGTATACTCTAATTTCAGCTCTGTTGTTTATTTGGTTGATGAAAACTTAACTATATGATCTGGCCCCTTTGTGATTTTTCAGTAATATATATATATATATAGTCTTTACAAATTCATATTTACGGTCGGCCGATCCGCACTGACTATTATGGATTGCTCCAATTTCTATATATGTGATAGGCATACTTTTCTTATCAGTCAGCGGAAGACATCATGAGAGACCTTATCCTTGTCATCGTAATGTCAAGATCATTGACGTTGTATGGTGATTGAAACTATTGACATAGATGGTGTCTAAAGAGGATCAAGAGGCGTTATGTGTGATATATACTAATTTATTATCTGTATGGATTCTTGGTCACGGTCGTTTTTCACACTTCTGGCAGTTTGACGGTGCACAATATTCTGCATCAGTACAAAATATGACATAATTGTACCTGCGTAATTTCTTACATCTGAGTCCAATATGACGAAAGTATATCTTCGTGAGGTAAATATACCATTGAAAGCACAATAAGATATGTGCGTGTATTTATACTGATGTCTCCCTACACCTATAACTGAACCAACACCAAAATAGTCATACTCAGACATGTTGAACTTAATACAACTATTACCTTTGGCTCCGAATCAATTGATCCATCAATAAAAAAGGAATATAATGGCGAGGCTGCCAGTTCTAGTGATCTTAACAAAATTAAACGTGTTCTGTGGTGCTGTCAACTCTAATGAAGGGCTAAGATAAATTATGTTGATTTAAGCCCAATCCATGAAGTTTATTCTTTATCATTTAGATGGCTACCAATAATCGGTCCAGTTACTGATCTGAAATTGATATTTAATCAATTGTGCAGATAACGGTCACTGTGTGAAAAATTTAACTTCAACGATCTTGTACAGGCTGTTCAGAATATAGATAGCGTGTCCATAACGTTATCACCGCGGATCTGGTTAACCCAAATTAACTGCCACTTTGACTCAGAGCTGGCTCAAGTTCCAATAATTTAAAAACTGACATTCTGCAATTTTATTAAAATCTTCAGCCTGTCACACCCATTTAGTTATAGGGAAATAAAAACCAAAGTTGATGTAATCGCCAAAATAGTAAATCAGAAAATTATCAAACATAAACATGAAATAGGATGCTGTCGTTCCAAAGCAGTAGGGTTAGCGTGACAGAACTGTGTATCTGAAGATTCATGGTTCGCATTCTGTTGTTGCAAAAAAGGCGTTCCGCACTTTGTGGCTATGGATGCAGTATAAGAGTGACAGACAATTTCTACTATTCAATCTCGCAAGAGTGGCCTAAGAATTGGTGATGGGCGCTGTTGACTACCTTCCTTTCTTCTGGTATAATATATCACTTCAAGATAACAGACAGCTATGCGCAGGTGCGGTTCTTGCATAGCTTTGCACAAAAATTCTAAAAACAAAAAATAGAGCAGTTTTGCGCATGCGGAATACGATGAAACGGCTGTTAATTCTTCCAAGATAAAAACACGTTTAGCTGTTATTTTTTAAAAAAAATATTATTTAAAGATTTTAAGTAACAAATATTTGCATAAAATTAGCATAGCGCTAAATGACATTCGTTAATAAATAAATAAATTTTGTGAAACCGGTGAGGAACTACTAAAACAACGATCCAGGATCTAGGAAATGTTTGTTCTTGTGGAGATGGAAACGAGGTCGGATTCAATAATAACCTACAAATATAAAGTAGCAAAATGTCCGAGGCGTTAAAATAGTAGCAAAAGTAGATGTGATCACGAAGGCAGATCATTTGCTCAAAAAACAAGCAGAGGTCAGAAGAGCTTCGATAAAGGAGCTGCTTCCAAGCATCCAAAGAAGCAAATCTGCGTACAGGAACGGTAAAATTACAGGTGTATTCGAAAACTTGCCCTAAAATTGGGAAGAGAGTGGAGACGATGCGGCGTGGTGTGAATCTGGATGACGCGAAGGATGAGAACAATTCAAGATTAGGAAAGAAATGGAGAATACGAAGACTTTTTTCCGAATGAAGTGAAGGAATATTAACAGACTAAGGTGAGTATTAATATAATGGCGAAATAGCATAACCATAGCATGCGGGTTGTCCACTATGGTAGGATATAAACACCTCAACGACTACTTACATAAAAAAACAAAAACAGCATGACAAAATGATCCCTGTATCGGAACTACACAGCCATTTAATTGACTCTTATATATATATAGGCTTGTTTGTTTGGTTTGGTTTAAATTTGAAACCATATATCAACATTAGGTGGGATGCCAATAAATACTTTCCAATTCATTTTACTACCATACGTCAGGCGCAGCAATTTTGAATGACAAAGGGAAAAATTTATCCAAGTCGCAGAAATGAGCACAGTTTTTACCTATAGGTCTGGTCCCTCTTACCTAATTCCCCTGTGTACCTGGGGCCTGTGGACCATCCGCTGGTGCGACTTCACACTGGTGAGGTCCAGTGGTAATGTTCAGAGAAAACGGCGAGAGGTTCCGGTGAGTGAAGTGTCTTCGGGACAGTGTTGAGACTGTTTGAACTTTAACTTGACATTGTTTTAAGCTATTATGATAACATTAAAATGGTTTATATGTAAGTGCTTTCATTTTAACTTAAACTATATGTGTAATCCTGGAATACACCTTAAACTGTGTAGAACTTTGCACAACCAAATGAAGTAGCAGTGTATTTTTGCATCAATGTTACCATAATTACCTACATGGACATGGCCTTGAAAGGGGTCAGACCGAGTGCGCGAAATTGCTCTGATCCTCTTGTAGTAATTATAATAACATTACCCAGGAAATTACGACCTATGATGGAGGAAGGAAGAGGTCAAACGCATCTGACCCTCCCAGGTCTTAAGTGGCCAAATCCCGATACCGAGAGAGCAAGCCCAGTCAAAGTGTAAGGCGTGAGAACACTGGGAAATATATGTCCCAGTCGGAGTGTGAGAACACTGGGAAATATAAGTCCCAGTCGGAGTGTGAGAACACTGGGAAATATATGTCCTAGTCGGAGTGTGAGGGGGTGAGAACACTATGAAATATATGTCCCAGTCGCAGTGTGAGAACACTGGGAAATATATACTTCTCAGCCGCAGTGATAGGGTTAATTGTCACTTTTTATCGAACTTGCATTTGTTTACCAACTTTTACAAACGTAAAATTGCTTTTTTAAGAATATTTTTATTCTGTGTGTTTCCTAAAACAAGAAAAACTCGAAGAATGTCGCGCTTGCATCTTGTTATATATATCACAGTTTCCAGAATTTTATAGAAATTTTCATTTACACACATTTTAAAATATTTTTAATTTGACAGCGTTAACTGTACGGACTCGCAACGCTAAAATCTGAGGTTAGATTCTCCGTGGTGGACACAGCAAATAGCCCACTGTGGCTTTGCTCTAAAACAAACAACAACAACGATTCCTGAAAATTTTCTACTCTATAGGAAGGAAAATGGAATGCTCCGCCTTCCGATCTCCCATTTGCTACCGCTTCTTCTTTAACAATGAAGGTGATGGAGCGACCTTGACAAAGAAACTTATCATTTTTTGTTTTGTTTTAACCTTTGCGGTTGCCTGCTTTGCTATCCAATAAAGCTTTTTTGAATGTGATCTAAGTATGCCAAAGTCAAATGCTTAAGTTCCATTTGCTTTTAATGCATCAGTTACACGTTATAATCGCTTAACTTCATAAATAACTATAGATTTTTGTGAGTTAGACATTACTCTCTTGACACATATATATATATATATATATCCGGTTAAACAATGTCTTGTTTTATGTCTAACCGTTGTTACCAAAACAAAACAACAATAAAAACTAATGTTAAATAGGAGTTAAAAATATAAATGTTTTCATCATATAGTGTAGAGGAGATCGATATCCTGTTAATAATGTTGTACCAAATTTGATATAAAGGCTTCTCTGACGAGCTAGTCTGCTTAGCCATTTATCCTTACTCCCCTTCATGACATGGTAGATACATCCAGATAATGGTCTTATTTTGGAGTTGCTTCGTTTTCTGAAATCCATTTGGGGATTAACCACTCTTGTATTTTACGCAGTACTGCCTGTGAGTCAGTCGTAACTATTATGTTGGTAACACTGAAGATTTTCGATTCATTGCTTTTAGCAATCCAGAAGAGAGCTCCTTTATAGGTCCAGTACCATCCCTGTGCTGCTTGTTAGAAACTTCATTGCTCTACCAGCCTTATACAGAACGTTGTTGTTTCGGAAGGACCAAACAGTTCTCTCACTCTGTGTGATCTAGGAAACAGCTGTGGCTGTGATGACAGGTGATCATCTATCGTAGTATTTAAGTAGGTGCTGAGAGACATTTTCTGCTTCATCCTCTCTCAGTCTCTAGATTTTCTGTCTAGGCTAAAACAGATTTACAGATTCTTTAAACAAGATTATGACTACTTAAAAATAACAATCATTCAGTTAAATACCGACACAATAGTTTCAATTTAAAAAACTAGTACAATATTAAAACAATATTTTTTAAAATTCTTATCTTCGTCTAAGAGGTCACAGTCATGAAAATATTACGGCGTACTTTGAAATAGTGTGATTAGCTGGCGGAGACACAAGGTTTTGTAAAGTGTTGACTATGCTAAGGATAAATGAAGAAAGGTTAAGTTTTATAACCAGTTTAACTTTAAAAATAGCGCAATACTAAAACAATAATAAATTTTAAATTCTTATCTTCGTTTAAGAAGTCACAGACATAAAAATGTTACGACGTACTTTAAAACAGTGTGACTAACTGGCGGAGACACATAGTATGTAAAATATTGGCTATGCTAAGGATAAATGAAGTAAAGTTAAGTTTTATAACCAGTTTGTTGATAAAACTTGTTCTCACTGGTTTCTAAACAAAGTGTAAGTTAGTTCTTCTATAACATTTAAGGACTATCATGCGCGTTTATCTGACTAACTTTTCTCTGTTTGTATGAAACAGCTACTCTCAACGCCGACATATCATGTGACACCGCCAAAGACTGCGGCGACATTAGAGTTGTGTTCTGTGATAACAAAACCGGTAAATGTGGTTGCCAGGATTTTAATAGTATTCTATCAGGTGAAGGACACTGTCTTAAAGGTAAGTACATTTTAGATATGTCAAGAAAATCAAGTAAATTATTTTACGCTAAAACCTGCTGCTGTTGCTACAAGACTAAATTATGAGGTTTTTACACTAGCGTTTTTGAAGTATTAGAAATTTCAATAGTCGTTGATTATTAACAAGCAAGAAATTACGAGATTTGAAGAGCAAAATTGAGTAATTATTTTGTTTAGATTCTATATACTTAAAGCTTCTACTATTTCAGAATAATAATTTCGTTTCTAAATAAATAATTAACGAATAAATATTTCAAAGGTGACTAAAGGAACTAGAACGTAAAAAGAGCGTTTCACACAATTGTGAATACATAAAGTATTAGAGTCAACGGTGAAAGCTTAATCTTATTTTTACATTCATTTGCTTTCAGTAGTTAACTCAAAAACACCAAATAAAGTGTATACATACAATATTCGACAAGTCATAATATTCTTGACTTTATCTGACTACGTCTTTAGCTGGCAACTTTTACTTATTAGAAAAAGATTAAAAGAATGTCTCTGTTATAATTAAAATGATAAGTATTGATGACATTGACTACCAGTATAACAGTTGCAGTATTGTAGCTGATATATCTACAGTCATCCCAAATAACCAAAAAGCATCAAAATATAAAGTTATTGTGAATTAGAAGAGATTTATAAGCGTTAGATATTCTCCATATCTTAATTGAGTTAGGTTTAATTGTTGTACTTCTTATTATGTAAAACAAAGTACATTTTTGGCTTCGTTGGAAAGGTAAGAATTTAAGTTGTAATGAATTGTTACAGCGAGATGTGTATTTATTTTGTAATTGTTGTTGCCACAATTTCGTGTTTACAATTTTGGATAATTAATGTAACTTGCAATCATTTATAACCGTTTAAGTTATCCATAAGTTATAAATAAGTTTGTAATATACATTTTTCCAAAGTTGTTAAAGTTCCACTGGAAATATGTATAACTTTCAATACAGAAAAGCATCGGTATTTTGAGTAATATTTATTGCTGGCCTAACCGTATTCAAAGTTAAATAAAGAATTTTCAACACGTAGATTGTTATGCTGACAAGGGTATATTCTTAATTAAAAATATTTCTTTCCATGTAAGTTAGTAATTGTTTAAGAGTGGAAAAATCCTTTTCGAAAAGATTGGGATATGTAAATAGTATATTATTGTCATTTTATTTTCAGTTGCCCACTTCACTGACAAATTTCGTTCTTCGTGACTTAGTGCATAACGCTAACATAATACCCAGTGCATAAAGCTAACATAACACTCAGTGCATAACGCTAACATAACATAAACAAATGTTCTTTAGAATGATTAAAGTACAGACATTATGAATCTAATGCAAACATCCCGAGCAGCGGACAAAGTGAATGTCGTTCTTAATATGTAGAGTGCGTTTTTTTCTTATGTCAAACTATACACAACTATTGTTTTAAAGGCTTTTATATATGTATAATAAGATAAAAAAACTCGAACTTAGTATTAGTTTTTGTTTCAATACTTAATTGGAACACTTTCACAACATTAAAGTTGCCAAAAAATAAGACTGTATTTTGAATCTTGGATTAAAGCAACTTTATATCAGATTTTTCAATTTATTAACATCTGGCATAGCTTTGTTTGTAGTTAAGCACAAAGCTACACAATGGGCTATCTGTTCTGTGTTCGCCACTGGTATCGAAATCCAGTTTTTAGTGTTATAAGCCTTCAGACTTAACGCTGAACCACTGGGGAGCTGACATAGCATTCGGGCAAATATTTGCACAATTCGGCTTTCTTTGAGCGTCGGAAAAAAAATAACAACTCGTCACTACCCAGTGTAATCACGTTAACTGTAGACAAGTATTCATAACTCGTCGTTATTCCTCATTCGTAGAGGATGTTTCATGTTAACTGCAGGCAAGTATTCATAAGTCGTCTTTATTCTTCATTTGTAGAGAATGTTTTTATGTGAACTAAAAAGCCGTTTCAGTTAAAAACAAGCCTCAACTTGTTTTTAAAAATACAAAATAATCTATTTCTTTACTACATCAAATTTTTTTATGAAGATGTCTAATTTTGTTAATAACAAATTAGAGAAAATTATATTCAGATGATTGATTGTTTTCAGCCATTCGTGCAAAGCTACTTAAGGGATATCTGCGCTAATTGTCCCTAATTTTGAACTGATAGACTAGAGCAAAGGCAGCTAGTCAACAGCACTTTCCGCCATAACTTGTCTGACAGAATAATAGGATTTGACCTTCACTCTTATAGCGATTTGAGTGAATTATATCAACACGATATTGAATATTCAAAATCATCAAGTGACGTGACAACTATAGTTGATATAAAATTACATTACAGCATTGTTTTTCGTTTCGAACATAGTGTGATGCTACCGAAAAGTGATCCCTTTTGGGAAGGTATGTAACAACCTTCCCGATGCAAGATATTCAAACACTTAGATCATGAAGATGTGTTTCGATCAGAGACTTCGAATTTCCGAGATAAAAATATACCTTGTACTTACTTGTATTATTAAACAAAATAATATGAATCACGTTGGGACATCAGGACCATCCGGAAAGGACCTGCAACAAGACATACCCCAAACACGGTAATAAAAATGCAAAATCTTGTAGCAGGTGAGAATCTACAAATACAAAACTCAGAGGTAAAAGACGTCTCGTATGACTCAGACAACAGTATGCAATATAATCAAAAATGATCTCCGTTTGGAATTGATGCCAACAGGGAATTGGCTTACCAAGATTACACTTCCAATCATACCTTTCGTTCAACCGTCGCATACTTCGTGCAGCTGCAGAATAAAACGGGTATTCATGCTACTCCATACAAAGACATGCCAACAAGCTGCCGTACGTAGCGCCTATATATTTCTGTGCGATGGAACTGTTGAAACGAGTATTGGAACAACATTTTCCTCGTACACTAGATGGGTAATGGAAAGTCAACAGGGGGAACTGTGTGCTTTAAACATGACAATTTTACGACGGAGTCTTTTGCAATGAAAAGTATCCCCAGGGCTATTGTCAAGATGCACGGCCGCCAGATAGAGCATGACCTGACGTGGGGATATAAACTGTAACAATGTAGTGAAGCTCTAAAATCATCTTAATATAACCCTTTGTAGCGTACCAACGGCATTCAAGTGCGAAAGGCAAATAGTTTCGGTAATGGGAAGCAAACCTTGGACTCCCCAAATCTATAGTCCAGCAAACTAATCATTGGGTCACGCTCGACCGTGCTCATTTGCATAAACGACATTGCATATCAGTTGATATTTCACTAAACTGGTTATTCTTAAATGAATAACGTGTTTATTAAGAATTAACAAATCACAGAAGTATATGAAACCTAAACGTACAGATGAGGATATACAATATAAAATTCGTATTCCATTTTTTATTCATTGAAAACACGAATGTTATACGTAATAATTTTAGAAGATGTTATAAAACAGTCACGAATTTTGAAACAAAATATAAAATATTGTAGGAAAATTATAACTCGAAGTATCCTGAAGTTACACAATTTAGTATGTTTGTTACAGAGAATATATAATTCACCTCGTCTTTTCTTATCTTTGAAGTAGAGGCGGTAGATATTATAAAGTTAAAACTTGGGTAGGGGAAAAGCTTTTAAAGATAGTTAGATTGAATAGCCTTAAATACAAAATATATACGCAAAAATAGAAAAGATTTATTGTAATAAATATTTTGAGAATCCTATAAAAACATTCATTGGAATTATGATTAATGAAAAACTCGATAAAGTTAGAGTTATTACTATCTATTAACCGGGTTTAATATTATAGATTCTAGAGTTGTATATATTGATGTTTCTGTTTTTTCTACAGGTCAAATAGAACTCCATCTTATATTACATATATAGCAAAATACGAAATTTAAAATATATATTATCTGACATTGTAAACAGCATTATAGTTCATATAATTAAAATATAGATTGCATCACATCATCTGTACATCGCCCCTTGATGAATAGAGGTTGAATATGAGTGATCAATTTTTAGACAAAGAAAAATATTTTTTCAAATATGTTTCATTACTTATAAAAAATACTTAGCTCAAAATTTGTGTATTAAAACTAAACAAATGATTAATCTATCGATTGTACATTCATTTGCTACAAGAAATGTTGAAAAATATACTCTATTTCATTGAATACTTTCGATAAAAAATATGCATAAATGTAAAATTACAAAAAGAAAACTAAGAAAGATTTAAAATTTAACATTTTCTTAAATTACTATGCAATTTACCATAAGGAACTTACTGAACAAAAAACTTGCATACCTACTGTACAGCCAGGAAAAATCTATTTGAAGAAAACAAGGAAACATCCAGTGTTTTAAGTTCGATCTAATTACGTACTTATATAAGTAAAATTATTGTAGTATTAACCTACAAGCAGTTGAAATTAAAGTTTATTCATAAGGTCAATGTACACCAATACGAAAATATTTAAACATGCTATAAATCCATATCGATATCTTACGCTGTCATATCTGTTTATACAGAGATATCTCAAAAGTAAATAGACACCATAAATTTTTTCAATAGTCATTTATCTCACATTATCAACTTGACAAAAATATTTACAAATGTGCATCAATACTTAGTCGATTTGCGACTAGCATGTTTCAGTGCTTTGACTCGTTCTGTCATAGAATCGACGTGTTCTGCAATTTTCTCCTGTAGGATCTTGACCCAGGCTGCACGCAAAACATCAAGTAGCTCTCCACGGGACGCTGGTTTTCTGGAACTTCTTCTCACTGTTCGAGCAGGTATGTCCCAACATGTTCGATGGGGTTCATATCAGGTGACCGACTTGGCCATGGGAGCCGTTGGATGTCTTTCTTAATTAAATGACTATTGAATGAACATCATGATGTCTATTTACTTTTGACATATATTTCCCGTTAAAAACACATGTTTCTATAATTTTCTAATATGTCCAAAC